GATGAGGTGCTTAGGGCCATGGTTTAGTGGTGGGATGTCAGGGTTAGGTTAAAGGTTGGACTCGATGATCTCAAAGGTCTTTTCCAACCAAAGGGCGAGTATCTCAAAGGTCTTTTCCAACCAAAGTGATTCTATGATTCTATGATTTAGTGGTGGGATGGCAGGGTTAGATTAACGGATGGACTTGATGATCTTAAAGGTCCTTTCCAACCTAAACAATTCTATGATTTCTAAGTGAGGGCACTTGCATAGCATCACCCATTGCTGTGGCAGGGGAGTAAAACCCAAGCATCCCGCCTGTCTTATTGGGGGCAGAAAGAAACAAACTTTCTAAGTAAAGACAAGTTCATTGTTAGCATACTTGAAATCTTAACTCTGTGATCAGAGAATGTCCAGTCCCTATTTATTACAGAAAAAGAAAAAACAAAGAATACTATTACAGACAAACCTTTAAATAACAAAGCAGTTAAATTGATGATGAGCTGTTTATCTTCCTGGGGTCTCCAGTATCATCCTATGCCCCTTCTCAAATAGTCCCATGCCCATGGTCCTTGATGCCACATCCCAAGCCCCAGTTTTCAAGGCCCCTGCTTGTATCAGGCTTGTATTCCTCTGCAATGTGATGCCAGAATCATAAATAAGTTGTTCTATGCAGAAAACCCGTTTGTTACAAGTATCTATGTATATATATCAAAAAAAGTAAAAGGAGAAACAAAGGTAAAATAAATATGGCAAAGCCACCTGATCATGAGAAAACTTGTAACAGCCAAACGAGCTGTAACAAAGCTCCAGGCAGGTGAAGAGAAGCTGAGCCAACGCAAGCCTGGCAAGTCCTGAGACCCTGCGGAGCTGGAACAAGGCTTGTGCCCCACTGCTGGCTGTGGCAATGCCGTGTTTATCGAGCTGCCAGCAGAGACCGGGACTCAGGGACTTCTTGGGGGAGATCCCAAAGAGCAATCGTTAAGGACAGCTGCTTAGACACAGTCGTGTATGCACTTAGTATCTGGTCCTGGCTAACCTGAGAAATGATGAAAGGGACCTAGCTTTTCTTTCTACATTTTCAAACCATCTCAGTTCGCATAATCCAGCCTGATTGGACTTTGGTTTTGCAAATATCAGTCATTCTTGTCATCCACAGTCTGATAAATGACAGCCTGCCTGAGGACTAGATATATAGGATTCAGCACTTGCCTCTCAGACAGTATTATACTCCGTTTTGTACTAAAATGTAATTACCAGAATACAGAGAAGCTCTTGCATGGCTACTACTCGTTCTGCAGACAACTGGGCTTACAATTTCAGTGAAGAATACCTACAACCTGTGGAGGGAAAGTGAGGACGAACAACACTGCAGGTTGCAATACACCCTTGAAAAGCTATGTTTACTTAAGTACCCCTATGGGCCAGCTTAAGATAAAACATATGTGCTTTCTATAATAAAACTGTGAAATGCAAAAGCTCATTAAGATGGCACAGGCTTTAGCTTAAAAGCCACGCACTCAACATTTTGGCACAGCCACTCAACCATGCTGAAGAGTTTGGCTACTTTTTGTTGTATGAGTCCCAACCACACTGCAGTCTTCAGGCAATGTACATCAATGTAAGGGTTCGATAATAAATGCAATAAATTTAATTATCTGCGTTCTAAAGTGAAATACTGTTGAGGAAAAGTATCAGCAGCAGAAGAAATTCTGAACAATGCCACTGTGCTCATGTAGCACAGGCGAACAAGGTGAACCTTTATGAAGATATGGGAAAAAAATGATAAAACACCGTGATTTGAAAAGTTTCAGTGCTTTGGCTCATTCATGGCTGGAGTTGTTGCTTTCTATTAACCTTCAGTCTTAGCATGTTTTCTGTGCACTACTTCATTGTTCTATAAACACACGAAAACCTTTCTCTTAAAAAATTATTTTCAGCTACATTTTAATATTCTCCATTCATTTTACCAGCCTTATCTTCTTTACAGCTGTTACCTGCTCGTGGAAAGCATAAACATCCCATTTAAATCATAAATCCACTGAAGTAAAAATTTTATAACAGAAGTGCCACCAGGCTTCCCATCGGCAGAGCTACAATTAAAGAATTCCGAACTGAGCGCTTTTGTTGCAGGTGTTGTTCATGTGTAGACACTCCAAATGTTAACTGCTTTTACAGATGAAAGAACATTCGAAATTTGCATTAATGTTTTGTACACTACAATATAATTTGATTACAAGGCATTCCCTTTAAAAAAAATATTCAGTCCCTTGGGGTCTAGCAGCGTATGGTATCAACTCTGCCTCTTACACGAGTCTGATTTTCAATAAGGGAAGAACAAATTAGGTTAACCAGATTAGGCTAGAAGCATGTTAGGTTAGTTTTATCCCAAGCATTGGATTCAGCAATAATACTGTAGTATCAATATTTATCATAAATTAAAAACACATTTCAGAGAACAAAGTTTCTGGACTAAAAGTATTTCATAGATGGTTGCAAGGTAACAGCTCTGCCTCCAGCGAGCTTTGAATGACTTCCGTGGCAAGGCAGCTTTTATTACTATTTAGCAAGGGACTGATTTTTCAAATACTTATTTCCAGTAGGCAACAAGGATATTTTATACAAGAAGCTGCTTCCTTCTCACATGGAAGCCCACTGGCTGCAAAAAAACCTGCACGCTTTCTGGATGGCCGGAATCAGTTGTCATACAGGTTGATCAATGAAGCTGAAGAAAACCACACCGATGCGTGTCACGTACCTGCAGGGTGCAGGTACCTGCTCCTCCAGCCCCGTTCCTTTCAGGCTCACCGGGCTGACTACAAATGTGTAGTTGACAGTGGTCACGTACAGTCGTTCTTTGTTCCCGTTCATGCCAATGTTGTGTCAGGAAATCAAAATATTCAGGAGTTGAACAGAAAAACATTGTGTTTATGAACACGGGTTGAAACCTGTGCCGCCTATGGAGAAGTCTTAAGGACCGTACTCTTTGCCCGCCCTCCCTCCTCACTCCTACCATCCCATCTCACTAACACCTACCCTTTGCTGCGCAAACTCAGAGAAACTGGATTTGCTTTGCTAACAACCATTTGCCACAGTAACTATGGATTAGTTTATGTCTAAGACCAACCAGAAGAGCCCAAGTCAAGTATTTCCTTGTCTCAAACAACTCGGGCAGGCAGAAGAGGAGCAGAGAGAAACAGGACGAGCCCCGCGGAGGCAGGGCGGCGAGCTGCCGCCTCTATTTCTTCTTGCGGGCAACAACTGAGCAAGCGCTGGACACCAGGTCAAATTTCGGCCAACTCGCTGAGGGAGTGCGTGATCGCCACAGACCCCCGCTGTCCCACCGACACCCCCCGAAGCGAATTCAACAGTCGGTCACCACCCCAGGGGCAGTCTTGGACCAATGGGACTATGTAAGGATGAGCGCATACGTTTTGCCTTGTCGACCCAACACCTGCGGCCCAAGACTGTGGAACAAGACAACGCGGGACCCAAGGGTGGTGATGTCTTCCCAGTCTTCTCTCTCTCTCCTCTCTCCCTCTCCTTCTTGTTCACCCATTTCCCTTTGACGGTTGTGACCTAGATTCAGCCTAAAATTGTTGGCAGGAAAAACTTTCCCGTGCCAAAGTCTTTTACTCACGAAGTTTGTTAATTGTTGCCAATAAATTGTTTTGCACTGTTCTGCTGAGCCACTCCCACGACCCGACTGGCTTTGCAGCCCTGCTGCGCAGGGATCGGCTCTCCTGTCGGTGCTCCCCTCGGGGGATCACCAAGATTCACCTCCCTCGTCACCCACCCGGGGGGATGAGTCTCTTGACAGTATCTTGGTTAGCTTTGGTCAAAACACCTACCCAAACTTTGAGAAAACACAGTTTTTATTACTGCCGAAGATTTCAGGGCCCAAGAAGTGAATCCTTTTTCTCTCCATTGTGGGAATGCCAGAGGTTTTGACAGGTATTGTCCTGCTTTTTCCAAGAAACCAAGAAAATAGAAAAAAAAAACCCAAACCACAGCATTCTTAGAACAGCCCAACCATTGCATTTGGAATTATTCCAGTTCCACTAAGTTTGTGACAACTCAAAATTCTTGGAGAGAACAATTCCTGTGAAGGAGACCGGCCCCCATCAAAGCAGCCACACTTGCCCAAAGTGCCGCAGAACGTACGGACCTGGACTGGGCTGCTGCGTTAGAAAGCAACAGGGGAAGGAAGAAACCAGGGAAAGGAAGAAACCAAGGGGGTGGGGAAAAAGCCCTTTGCCACATGGCTTCCCTCAGCTATAGGTTTGTCCTGGTTTTGGCTGGGACAGAGTTAATTTTCTTCCGAGTACCTGGCATAGCGCTGCGTTTTGGATTTAGTACCAGAAGAATGTTGATAACTCACTGATGGTTTGGTTGTTGCTGGGTAGTGCTTAGACTGGCCAAGGGCTTCTCAGCTCTCAGCTCTGCCAGGGGCACAAGGAGCTGGGAGGGGGCACAGCCAGGACAGCTGACCCCAACTGGCCCAAGGGGACCATACAGCGTCATGCTCAGCATGTAAAGCTGGGGGAAGAAGAAGGAAGCGGGGATGATCGGAGTGATGGTGTTTGTCTTCCCAAGTCACCGTTACACGTGATGGAGCCCTGCTTTCCTGGAGATGGCTGAGCCCCTGCCTGCCCATGGGAAGTGGTGAATGAATTCCTTGCTTTGCTTTGCTTGCACATGTGCGGCTTTTGCTTTCCCTATTAAACTGTCTTTATCTCAGCCCACGAGTTTTCTCACTTTTAATCTTCTGATTCTCTCCCCCGTCCCATTGTGGGGGCAGTGAGCGAGCGGCTGGGTGGGGTTGAGTTGCCAGCTGGGGTTAAACCACGACAAGGCTGACCTGCAGAAAATGCCCACTTATGTTTTATTTTGACAACCGTGTTGCAAACCCAAAGGGAAGCTCTCTCCTGTAACAAAAGAAGTCAAAAAACCCCAAATGCAACCAGCATGTAATAAGAATTTTATTGAATACATTTAGAAAAAAACTAGAGCGTGAAGATATGAGATTAATTTCTGCGTATAAGTTTTATGAAGGTGCGGAATCAAACAACCATGCAAAAAGACATCTCCCCCCTTCAGCTGTAATTCAAGACTCTTATGATGGCAAAATTATTACCACCTTAAAACAGTGTTCCAGACACATAACTCATTACTTTAAAAAGGATCTCGTTCCTGAACAGAGATAAAATAATTTTAGTAGCAACAGGGAAAGACCAATGATTAACGGGTACAGTATTTAACCAACACTCATGCCATGTTTAAAGAATGCAAGCAAAAAATGCATCGTTCCGTAGAATAAGTAGATTTTTTTTCCAAGGCAAAATTCCTAGTAAAACTAGTCCCTAAACTACTGAAATGGTGACTTGATAATGTACATGTTCCAGAAGATCATCCAGTGGAAGGTTTTTTTGACAAGCTGCATCAATGCCCTGTAAAACCTAAGAGTCGGAGTAGCTGAACAGCCCGGTGCTTAACAGGATGTTAACTTTAAAAATAAATCCCAACTCCTCTAAGAAATGTTGTGACAGATATAACACGTAATGCTAGGCAGGAAAACGGGCTTATACATGAGGGAAATGAGTTCCACTTTCTGTCACAAACTTGTATACCCAGGCCATTTTTCATATTAAAAAGGGATTGTGAAGGAAGCCTTACGTGCCCCTGGACGGTCAGTTCGGAGACACGTAACAGCCTGTCTGCACATGGAACAGTAAACCCGGACTGACACACACTATAGCTCTGAAGGACTCATTCAGTATAGAGCTAGACTGTATCAAGCTACCCAACTCCTTAACCACAGCACAACTTCTGAAAGCAGGAAAAAATGGGTAAATTCAGCAGCAAGTGTTCCAGTACATGCTTGCTCACAGTTAATTAATAACAGTTTCACTATTATTAGACAGGTGAATGCCTATGTCATCAAAAATCACATAGCTTCATTTCCAAATCTTGCTTTTAGGAAAGGATTGTGTTGGGTTTGGCACGCTACCGGTGGTTTCCCCTTCTCTCCACGTTCACTAACGTAAGTTACGGCCAAACCAATATTCCGTCGGAGCATCAGCTGCCACTACCCACGTCGAGATGTCATTTCATGCAACACCGGGATCAAACACTGCTGCGCCGAAGCCCGTTCCGAGCAACTGCTCGCAACGCTCCAGTAAGTGGTACAGCTCTTGCAGCCCCATGATGGATGCGGGCATATGGGTATAAAAAGCTGCTACGAATTAATGCAGTTAAACAAGAGACTTAGGGCAATCCATACCAGCTGAAAGTTTATCCTTTTATTCTGAACAAGGCCACAGGCCACAGAAAACTGGGCTATTATCTGTAAAACCTCTACCTTCTTGCCTGATCGAAGCTGGTTTGTTTGGTTTCTCTTCTGTTTGCTTACTTCTTTTAAACGGGTGAATTTTAAAAGTGGTTTTATTGCCACTGATAGGCAAAGTCATTATGGAACTCCTGAAAGATCTTTAATTTTGTGCTGAAAGTATGAACAGGAAAAGAGTAGGAGGAACGACTAAAAAGCAAAAGCAAAACTGAGGACCATATTTATAGGACCTGTCTTCTACTTCTGGCCAAGCTGACCCAGCTACCAGCAGAATGTGGTTTGGAAGAGCCTAACAAAGCAGTTACGGGGTCCCACAGCCAGCAGCACAGACAGCAGAAGGTCCGTCCATCCATCCACATTTCTCCCCGCTTAGCATTTAGCATACTGAGGGAGAATGTGACTTCCTTAAAACTAGAAACTCTGTTTTCCCAAGAAATTCCATTTCCCTTGCAGTTTTTTAAAACGGATTTGACGTGATGTAAGCCAACTGCATGTGAGGATGCAAATAAATTGAAAATACATTAAAAAATGTGGAAGATTTAGAGTGTTTATGTATCCATATGGATAGACACACATTTGAACTTGCTTGTTAAATAAGAACTTTATCCTGGCACTTAAACACTGCTCATTTTGCTGTCCAAGTTCAGAGTTCTGCACACAAAACCACAGGTGGCAGGCTCATAGCTACAGCTATCCCAAATCTGTCACCCACTGAAGTGACTGGTCTCAGTATTACACTAATAAGAGCTCCATGTGTTGGTTCAGAACACATCAGGGAACATCTGTTCAATTTTTAGAGGACCATTTGCAGGCATACATTTTGGTAAGCTTGTACCCTATCACTTCACAGCACCTGACATTTTCAAGTTTATTTAAAAAAAAAAAAAAAAAAAAAAAGGCAGCATTATTAGAGGTTAACAGAATCTTTCAGGCAGAACTTAAGCTGGAACTTTTAGCAGGGGCCCAAGGGAGCAAGCAACCACACTCGCTCCAAGAGGAGACAGGATCTTAAAATGAAGGTGAAGAAGCACCAAACCAAATGTTATATATACAGCACTGGTGTTACTTTCTTGGTTTTTGAGGATGGTTTCTTTGGTAATGTATTTCCTACTATTTTAAGCATGAAGTAAGATTTCAAGTACTGCTGGAGACAGAACTCTGGGCTCAAGTCAAATTACCTCTGCTGGAAAGCAGTAAGGTTCTTAGAAATCCACGTTTAACTTGAGAATGCCTTTACTACGCTCTGCGTTTCTCTTGGTGTTACTCCAGGTCGGCCAAGGTAGGCAGATGAGCACCCACACATTCCAACAGTCCACAGGACTGCTTGTTTACATATATATGTTTTGGCACAACAAATGATGGTGTACATTTTGCATGACATATACGAAAACATGTTTTTTCTTTCAGCTGCAACCCAAACCTAAGAAACTACTGCAGGCAGAAAGAGAAAGCAACATTACAGCATGTGTCGCTGCTTGGATAAAAGTCTCATCTTTAAAACTATCCTGTTTCCAGCCACAAATCCTTACCGATGGAAACTGAAAACAAAAATAAGATCTTGATTTCTAATTGCAGTGTTTTGCTTATAACGTTCAAAAGAAATATTTTTTAAATATCTTCATTCAAAGGTACAATTATGATTTGAGACAGACATTTTAAAGCTTGTTGTTTGTTTCTCCTAAGATTTGTCCTGTAGATAAATTTAGTTCTTAGATCACCATCCTCAGAAACAAGAGCCATGCATATCTACAGGACAATTTTCCTGAGACACCTACAGTGTGTACTAGCTTCTCCCACTACACATATCCACCCACTTGGAAAAAAGATTTGTAATTTTGAATGCTGCAGAATAGGACAGAATATACATTCTAAAGCCTGTCAAATATATACAGCACCTTGGTAATTTTACAATACTCTGCTGTTTGCGTATTCTCCACAGCTGAGATTTTAAGTTATTCAGCCATTTCACCGTCCACTTACTTTCATATTTAACAATCCAAATATCAAAGGTACAGTAGGAAAAAAAAAATTCCCTCTTGCCAACTTTGGTTATATTTTAACCTGATTTCCTGCTTTTATACATGAAAGACAGTAAGAGTCAGCAAGTACTGAAATCCTTAGCAAAATACCTTTTATTCCATCCCTCCATAGCCAACAGGTATTAAAACAAGCCTTAGTTTCAGAAGTCAAAAATGCAAATCAACAAGTGCTCTTTTCATATTTACGTTTATGTACCTTTTTATTCTAGATGCAGAATTGCATGTTTATTACTTCATAAACTCAGATTTTTGTATTTGTTTTACTGTACGCTTCATAATGAACAGTGCTGAATTTAACATGGGCTACCCAGTAGATCCATTCTAAACTGAACACTTGAAAAATTAACACACAGAGTGGACTGCGAGCACATCTATTTGGAGAGTCAGTGCAGGGTAGGTAAGGCTGTAAGCAAAGGGCAATAGCTCTTTTACGCTAAATCCCCATGGAGACACTCCGACTAGAATAAATACACTCATGGGAGCAAGAGCAGAAATAGCTATTACCCTTTAAGTTTACACCCCCATTTACTGTGCATCAAATTTCTTCGTAGAATGGAACATATGATCTAGCATAAAAAAAAAGAATCTCTATAAAAGTTAAATATTTGATTACAGTAGCAAGTCACCACTTCATAATGGGAAATAACTCGTCTCTTGGAATCATTATTGATCTGAATTATCTTTTTTTTGTTGTGTGTTGGATACCGGTAATTCAAGACTTGCCCATAATAGGGGCTCTGCTTTTCTCATAGTAAGCTCAATCTTTGTAGCAGTCATGTTCACATAACTCCTCTTTACATCGATTACCTAGAACAGAAAACATATTTCACATTTTAATTTAAGAAACACACTTCTAGGTATTTGGGAATTAAGTTAGGAAGAGTACCTTATGACCAAATTTCAGTACATGTTTAGGTAGATGGAGTTCCCTCTCTTACCCGGAAAAGGCAAGCCTCTCCCATTCCCAAGCCATAAACATATGCCTGTGCATATACAACATACACTGGTCTAACACATATATAGGCATGCAATTACAGGGTTTGCAACACCACTATCATAGTGTTGGGATCATAGGACAAAGTGGGACAGAAAGGACCTCAGGAGGTCACCTTCTGCTCACAGCAGCATCAGCTACGATGTCACACCTGATCACTTCAGGCATTAGATTCAGATTTAAATGTACATTACTGAATGATATGCAACTGAATTTCTTCCAATAAGCAGAGTAACAAGGAAAAACAAACTGTTTTGAAAGAGAAGAAGCTGAGGGTTTGCGTTTTGGTGTGGGTTTTGGTTTTTTTATTTTTTAAATAGAAAAATTATTCTTATACTCACTCCCCATAATTTCACGCTGCGATGAAATTCCTTTTCTCCTTCAAATACAATATGGATATTTACCTTAACAGGAAAGACAACAGAACATTTTGTCAGGCTAATAAAACATACATAAGTATGGTTAAGCAAGATATAACACATTAGGCTTAGACTCTACAATAAGCGAAGTGATCAAATTGTCCCTCAGACACAGAAGCAGAAATTCATCCCAAGAGATTCTGATACAGTATCACAGTCAATAGTGGCCATATATGCATCCTGGAAGCTGTATCATTTTCTCCAAATGCGCGATTAAGACATCAGAGAAGCATTTTAACACTTGTTAAATAAGCTGTGAAAGTGCATACCATGAAGATCTATATTAAATCGCATTAAACTAAATACAATGAAATTATGAATGTATAATTATTTTACACATATGGTGATGCAAATCAGTGACACTCAGGTTTTGATTGCAGAACTCATATTTAAGATTTTTTTTGACATATTATATTGCAGCTTTAAAAAAAAACCACATTAAAGTACAGATGTCCAAAGAGAAAAGAAGTGCTATACATACTTGAACAGACACAAATGCCAAGAAAAAGCCGTTACTCAAAAGAGATTCTTATGCTATTCTACCTCTGCCTTGTAAATAAAGCAGAAGCCAGATTTACCTAACTTCAAGCTGCTGTAAGAATTAAAAAAAAAAAATAATAAAATTACTTCTGAAGGTAGATACTCACCATTGTGCTATTTGCTTCTACGTAGCTCAGATCAGGAAGAGAGTTTTTAGCATATACAGAAATAGTCACTTCTCCTCCAGTCTGGTGCCAGTCATGCCTGCATGGAACTACTTTCTTTTCTTTCCCCAAAAAAGGAAAAAAAAAAAAAAAAAAGACATAAAATTGCATTCATGAGCATTTTCACAATCAGGATAAAAGCCCATGACTATTTTAATAGACAACAAGCATAGCTAATAAACAACTATATTGTTTTTTCACTTACATCTTCTTCTTACTAAATGTTTCAGCTACTAGTCGCTGACAAACATTAGAAGTGTGAAAAACAGTGCTTATCACAGAGACTACAGTAAGAAACTGGGACACTGTGATAGAAAAAAAATAATAAAAAGAAAACCCCACAAAAACAGCCAAAAAAAAAAAGTTATTTTTTGTATTAATGTCCTTTCCAAGACTACAGTTATCCAGCAGGTAGTAGAAAGGAACTGATCAAAGAAAAAGCAAGCCATGACTCCAAGAAACTTTCATATTACTGCAAAAAATTAGTGAATATGACCCTCTGTTCTCTGATGCATGAAAAATAAACAGTTAAAAAACCCAAAGTAATAAAAAGGTAAAGTCAAAAAAACCCTGTTAGCTAGAAGTCCTTTATCTCAATATAGACACATTTAACATACACGTAGTTCCTTAACATCTGGGTACGTTCTTTACAAAAATGCTCTCCTGCTTTAGGCTCACAACTTCAGCCTATTTTTTTTTTTAATCCCTCCTTTCTGTATCTGAAAATACTTCACAAACACAAATGCATAAATAGATCTTCAAAGGAAGCAGCAATTCCATGACTTAAAGGAAGTAATTGTTATAGAATGAAGCAACAGAACGACATTTTCGATAATATACCTTTATTTCCTTCTGTTAAACGTTCTGGTGTTCGCAGTATCAAACCCATTTTGCCTCAGCAACAGACAATATATTCACAACAAGAATTCAGTGTTCACCTGCGTTCAACACGTCACCAGCTAACATTTCTGAAGTGTTCCGTTCCTTCGTTACATTCTATAATATTCTCTAAGAACCTTTTTAAACCTTGAATGGAAATATTTTTCACCTTGTAATTCTGCAGTTTGTTCCCAACATGGCAAAGAAATACCTACAAACTAAACAGATGCTTTCTCTGTATTTCTTATACTGGCAGCCAAACCAAAATACTGAATTAGATTCTGACCAGAAGAATAGTCAGACGTGTAAACAGGACCACCCAAATTAGACAGGAAGAGACCCTTCCATTCCCACCCATGGAACCTCACGGACCTTATCTGCCCTGCCATCCCTACCTGAACTCAGCTACTCTGAATGAAACGGCAAGTACAGTCATTTTACTACAGAACACGTACAGCTGTTCTTTTCATGGTGTTTGGGGGAGGAAAGACTCCTAATAATCTTATTTTAGAAGAATATATATGGAATATATTCTATATGGAATACCATAGACTTTATTAACTAACAAAGCAGAAAGGGCTGCAATTTCTTTTCTGAATTTGCCAAAACCACTTTTACTATAAAATAGTGACGCTATATGTATCACTAAAAAGAAAAGTTGTACCCTATTACAAGTATGCTTCTACCACAGATTACTTCAAACTCCATTTTTCTCTGTTGTCATGCTGTGCATCATATAGAATCACAGAATCGTTTAGATTGGAAAAGACCTTTAAGATCATCAAGTCCAACCGTTAACCTAACCCTGCCATCCCACCACTAAACCATGGCCGCTATCCTCCATATTATTTCAGAGATAGTGATCTGTAACAGCTTGACTACAGCAATAACTCAGTCAAGCTACTAACTACATTTGAGTATCCAAAATTCAGAAGAGCCAACTGCAGAATGCAATGTTAACGCTACTTACCGCATCCTTTTTAGTCCATACATGTGTTCCTGTTGTGCAGCCTTCTTGAGCTAAAAATGTATTGAAGTCAGATGTTTTTCTTTTACAACAGCTCCAATACTTCATCCTTGAAAGTTTGCAAAGTAATTAACAAACAATATTTAGGACACTATTTACCATGAGTACTTAAGATCTTTCCTTTATGCAATACTACTGTTAATTTAGTACACTCTCTTCAAACATTGCCATTTTTGACTGAAGAAAAAACACAGAATGAAAACAATGCAACACCTACAAAGAAAGCAGGAACACAGAATAGACTAATTAAAAAACCTGAAGTTAACTGAATACTAACCCTTCATGGAATATAGGTACACCAGAATGGTATATACATACTTCTTCTGTGCTGTGTGGTCCTTCGTACGTCTAGTAAAACAAAACATTTAAAGTGTATTATTGTTCCAGGATGTGGTCCAAAGGAAAACACAGAACAAACCGAAACACAACCCACAAGAGAAACATTGAACAAAGTACTACAAAGCTTTTGAGTATATTATTCGTTCAGTGGAGTACATCAAGGGTGACATCATCTATGCTCATAAAGGTCACTTCAGATCCTCAGAGATACCGATCTTTAAAAATATTCTGAATATTCAGAGCAAATAAGTACTTAACTGAAAAAGAAATTAAATCTATAATTCATAAAATGAATGGATTCTTAAAAGGAAGTAAGTTAAACAATTTACAACTCTGCCACTGAATATTACATCAGTTCTTCCTAACACGAACAAGAGGCTGCTATAAATTCTTCTCCCACCACTTTCAGTAAAAAATGCAAAATCTGTCAAGATGCCCAGTGAAATACCTATTTAAATCCTACTGTCCCGTTCTGTACAACACAAGGGTGTCAATGTCAAAAAATTTCAGTTTAAATGACCATGTAATATAAAGACTAATTTTGGTGCTACAAGCGTTAAAACATTTTCTTTGTGGATTCTTCTGGAAGGAAGCATTAATTGGTAAGATCTGCAGATGCTTCTGACCTACACCCAGATTATCAAGAGCAATGCAAGTGTTACCAGCAGGCCACCTCTCACCAGTATGACATTTAACATTTTAAATTGAAACACGCCAGTAACACGAGCTTAGCAATATTACTAATTAGAAGTTCAGGACAGGCTTACAAAACCACTAATCTTAGACTGACTTCATCCACAGTACAAACCAGCTCACATTTGTCCACATTAGAGTGTGCTATCAAATGTGCACTCGTTAAGCCTGATGGACTTTGTGCCATTTCCAAATCGATTTGTAGCACACAAAAAACCACCCAAGTAAGGAAGACAAAACTGCACACGTAATAGCGTAGCAGCTGGGTTTAAGAGTGGAACTGTACCACTTACTTTTGAACAGCCTGCATTTTTACATGCCGTCCCAATCTTGATTTCATCACTGTCTTCCTCTGTAAACAGAATCATGTTATAGGAAATAGCAGCTGAATTGTACAATGTACTAAATATTTTGCTTTTATTGAGAACTAAAATGAGCTAAGGAGTAGGTTAGGAAGAAAACCTCTCAAGCTGTCTATTTTCTGCCTGGCACTGATGTCTGCCAGAAAGGTTCAAAGGAACAGAAATTATGCAAACATTCCAAAAGCTGTATTACCTATGCATTAGTTTCTAGGTTCTATACCTTTACACTGCTTTAAGTGAGGGAAAAAAGAAAAAAAAAAAATACATGAAGAGGATTATTACAGTCATAGGGGAAGAGAACAATCACTCATCTTGTTTTGTTTTGTAAAACTAAGGAAGTAAAAGGCTCCAACTACTGTCTATAAATACACACAAGGAAAGAATTTGGGTACCAAGTAGAAAGAAGAGCTAAATGACACTTCTTGCACAAGGACAAGAGAGTATAAAATAGCCACAAATGCAGGTTAAATTAGAAAGTGTTTCTGAAGGAACAGTGTGGTTTTGGAAGCAAATTCCAAATAAACTGTTGGAAGGAAAAAAAAAAAAAAAAAAAAGGAAAAAGAGACAAGGGAGAACCAACTAGACCTCAGAGGAATTTCATCAGTTTATAAAAGGCTTTATATGACATCATGTCTGCAGTAACACAGGAGTAGAGTTCATTGCTTGGGAAACTCTTTCAGTCAATGGATGTTCCCATCATGTCCATTCTAACCAGAAAAATCTCACAAAATAGGCAGTTCAAATAATTTTAGCAGGAACATACTGCTCTTAACACCCAAGCCTCCACATCGTTCACATCTAAAGTTTGATTATCATTCCCTAGACTGGAAGGTATTTCCCGGGTTATTAAGAAAGATATCATAATTACATGAAATAATTACTTCAGAAACAATAAAAAAAACCCCATTTCATGTATTCATGTAACAATTAGCGTGACTTAACCTCCCCATATCCTTACCTTTTTTCTCTTCGTTTTCTGATGACAGTTTCAGCTTATCTAGTGCTTGCTTCAAGGAAGCTGACACTTTCAGCTGCAAATTTATCATTGGCTCATCTGGGCTAAAAAAAATGTCCACGTATTCATGTCAGCCTCATGAAAAATAATTTACAAAAGTAACTTTTAATCTTGCTATAAGGCTTTTCCTTTACAACCTCCCTTACAACAACAAACAACCAACCAGATTCGTAAATGCCAATTCTTACTGTTTATGGAAAAATGAAATAGAAATTTAGAAGGCAATCTTGGACTTCAACAACAATAAAAATAAATCAGAGAGATTAAGGAATCTAAATACAAGCACCCTAACATTATTTTTTATGACTGTTTAAAACACCAAACACAAGTGCTAGCGGCATTCTAAGCTACGAGGCTTTAGACTGCAATTTCTGTTTCCATGTAGCTGTGACCCTAAGTGCTGAGAGATCCAGTGCTACCGTGACCTAACCAGAATTCTTTAATCTCATTCTGAAGCTTAATACAACAACACCATTGCTACCAGACACAAAATCTTTTAACATTAATTTCAGAATTTTTACCTGACACAAGATGCGTAACATTGAATAACTAAATGAGCTTTAACTTGGCCAACTGAACACAAATCTGGCAAAACTTAGTTTCATATACTGTACCTCGGCCTTTTAATTGTTTCCAATGGTTTTGGTGCCTGAATTATGTGTTCTTGAAATTTGGGTTTCAGTTCAGCCAGCTCCTTTCGTTCAGAGGTAGTTTTGACTTCTGGTTTGACAGGCTCAGGAGGTTTCTCACTGTTATGCAGACCCTTTGTACAGCCCTATTATGGAAAGCATATGTTTATATAAATGCAGCGTAGTTTGTGTGCACAATTTAAGAATTGCCAAAAACTGCAACAAATTTTCTCCATTTATTTCTTCATCCCCATCTTCTCCTTTAAACCCACTCTAAACATTGGCTGCAAAGGAAGTCCTACAACTAAAGTGGAAAATACCTTCATTTGGACATATGTTAAAGAAAAATACATACTTTCCATAATCAAGTAGAGGAACAAAAAATATTGACCTTCCTTAATTGTTAACAAGCATCTAAATAAATACATTTTGATAGAACTAATTATAACCATTAAAGCTTGAAAATGAGACCTGACTTCAACATTGTATCAAGAAAAATAGTGCATGAAAGATTAAGACACTTTTAGAAGTATGCAAATTTTAAACATGTAAGCACATGTACCATTTAGTATTTATCACTGTCATTTGACAAGTGTAAAAATTGTAAAGAATCATGAGTACATACCACAATGCTTAAGAAGTCAGAAAAATCTGTTGTTCTTCTCTTACAACATGACCAACCCTATAAGTATTTTGGAATAAAAACAAAACAAGCATGACTACCTGACTTGGCAACAGCTTATAAAAAGCAAAACACTAACTGTATTCCTTTACAAGATGTGGCACATCATGATTAGAGATTATTTTCTTCCCTTCTTTGGACAATATTGCCATTGTGTGCATTTTTAAAAGCCAGAGAAACCTGTTACAGCTGCCATTTCTAGTTCACTCATGCTGCCTTAATCAGATAGCTCAGTAACGTGAGGCAGGGTTTCCATGACAAGTTAGATGCCAACTCTGTACAAGAGAAAACAGAAATGCTACTTTATCTCGCAAAGTAACACGTAAGCAAAACAAACACCGTACCTGAGACTAGGCTCACCTGTGGCATAATGTACAGGCCCTTTTCCAAAAACGATGAAGATTTTTTTTCTTTCCTTGAGCACTAGTCAAATGTTTAAACTGCTTACTTCCCACCACAAAGCTGGAGATCTGCCTTGCATAGCCATCTATCCAACTACATCAACCAAGAGCGCTTTTTATTATATAAACCAGAAATCCAATTTCAGAGAAAATTATCTTGCCGCTGTGAATAATGGATCTTGCAACTCAAAGAACCTTATTATATGGCAACAGTTTGACTAATAAATGCAACACCGCTTTGAGAGCTTAAGCAGTGTGACACAATGGGGTTTCAGTAGGTGGTTCTAAAATATCCTCAGAGTATTAACTATCTCCACAGACAGGGAGACAAGAGCTTCACCCTGGCCACTTAGATTATCTAGAATTCATAGCAGGAAGAAAACTGCCCATACAAAACTATGATAAATTTTCAGTTAGGCCAAGAGATAGGATAAGGAAAGGAGGGAAAGTAGCACTTGTTTTAAAAACGGTGCGTCTAAGAGAAAGAGGGAGTGAACACAATCTTTTGAGGTAACCATATAATTTGTCTTTACAATCAGGTAGAAGTTTTAGGTACTGTGTTACTAGTAGAACTATAATTTTGTACAAAACAAATCGCCGTAGCCTAAGTAACTGTATCATATTTGATCTAACAGCATCCATCCTAATTTGCGGGTGGCACACTGTGGCCAGCTCCGGAGTCATGTACTGCAATGTGAGCAGTAGCTCACAGAAAACACACTACCCAGCACGTACGCACAAGCCTCCAGGAGCCCAAAAGACACCACGTTATGGGACAGGGATGAGATGCACTGCCAGCAGAAGCAGTTCCTAAATACCAAGAAAAAAAGCTTGCCCCAAAGCTCAGTTAACTGGCAGTTAGGTGTCCTAAGAAAGGTCACTTAGGCTACACCTGTATTAATACAGTAAATAGGGACAGGCTTAATTTCTGGACAGCAGATTTCTGGCCATACACTATTACATTGTTAGAATGATTTCCAGTACTGTTTTGGCAGTTGCGTCTCGGATAATTCCCTGTAGGCACTTTGGATGCATCCAGTGGATCCAAAAGTAGGAAAACAGTTTAACATAATGAATATGGGCTATGCAGTTGGCCTAAGCACAGGAGACGAGTCACAGGTATATTCAATTCACTACTGAAGATGTAGCCCAAGAATCCTGGGCAGCTGCATCGGAGGCATGGGCGACCAGTCCCAACTTAATCAACATACTCATCTGTCAGATGAACAGAACACAATTATTTTTTATGGCAGGCAAATGTCACGTACACATTAGTTCACTAGCCATGTAAGACCACAAGCAGCTGGTTTGAATTCCAAGCAAGCTAATTAACTGAAAGAGTATGACACCTCTCAATGCCTCCAAAGACCTATTCAGAGGACCTAATTGAACTGTTGAGACATAGGAAACGTGTCATACAGACTTGCATGGCATTTAGACCATATGAGTACAGTTTTTAATTTCTTCTTCAGGTTTGAGTAAGTGTGCTTTTCTAATTTCATGGGGTTACTCAAACATGATAGGCTGGACATTGGTTTCTACAACTGAAAGATTTGGAATTAAAAAGGAAAACAAGCACACTGGTTTATATATATGGAAAAAAAAGGTAAGACTTAAAAAGCTAGTTGCATACTTACTTTGAGAGCATCATGAAAGACTGGCACACCTGGATGGTATGTGCATGAATCTAGAAGAAAATGACTATTATTAGTATTCAGGCATACCAAGAATCCTTATTCATCTGATCACAAAGCCAGCAAAAATTTCACACTTGCAATTTGTGTATGCCATGAGCGGTCTCCCTTCCCCAAGTGCACAGAATTATGAAGGAAAATACCGACTCCACAGAACAAGCTTTCTGAGTGCATATATTAAACAATCCAGATTTTTTCTTCTGTATTATACAACACAAACCAGAAAGCAGGCATCTAAGACAAACTTCTACTGCATATGGAGCAAGTAAATTTTCTATGGACCATCCCTTGCCTTTATCAATCATTAGTCTTTAATGGCAATTCAGCAGAGGTAAAAAACATGGCCCTGTGGTCACCTGGCAGACATGAAGAACTGGTTTGCAGCATCAAATACATCTATTTGTACCTGATGAAGGCTTTCCATCTAGAAGCACTCTGTTAAAAATTCTCTTAATACAAATCTTGAGTTCATTATTTTATCCCTGATAATCAGCTTGTTCTTTTCTCACAGTTTGTGGTATCCTAGGTCACTTGAGGACGTGAACCCAAAGGCCAGTCTTCCACATACACAGTTTTGACATGTCAATACTATTAATTATTAATCACTTTTGTACACTTACACTGAAACATGACTTCCATTAACCGAACTCTTTATATTCACAAATGTTTATCAACACTACAGCTTTTTGTGTAGCAACTCTTCCTTTTTTACTCAACAAATGTATTTTTTCCAAGTGTAATATAATTGCTCTCATTATGTAACTTCTCTTTGACATAAACTGCATGGATAATGTTTTCATGACCTGACTCTAACAGCGATGGGAAACACTAGCTACCTTTTAGCCTTTAAAGCAAAATTTTTGTTGTTGTTAGAAACAGCTAAAATTAAAAATGACACAAGCAGTAGCAATTTTTATAATAAGCCTCCGTAAAACGCAAGAGTGAAAAATATCACAGTTCACATAATAAAAAGCAAAAGTGATAACTAACTTTATTCGTAATCTGCCTACAGATATTAAATGGGCTTAAAGAAAACTATATTTATTTCACTTTTTATAAACATGTAGACTTTTAAGAAATCTTGCTTAGTATAATTTCCTTTAGTTTTATATTCAGTGCCCAAGTCTAAAGCGCTAATACAGTCTGCGTTAAGATGACAGTTCCCATCTTAACTCAAAAGGCACAGATTTTGGGACATTTGTCCTTCAGCTGGACTTACATACATATCCATGCACTTCTACCAATTCCTTCAGCTTCAGGACGAAAAGCTAACGCTTTCATAAATGTAAATCTCACAGGAAAAAAAAAAAAAAAGAAAAAAAAAAAGAAAAAAGCGTCGTTAACTTTGGTAAAGAGCCCAGGACTTCACTGCTAAATCAAATAGAAGTAAAAATAGAGGTTATTCTTTTCCAGAAGTATGGAAGTATGTAATCACAAGCATGATGGTAGTAAAACTCAGCTCTGTTTGCAGCAAAGATTCTTTCTGAATCAGAAGATGTAAATTAATATTTTTAATCCCTCACAAGCATGTGGGTTTAAATGAGAGAGGTGCTGTTAGTCACTGCAACATTTTTAGAGACCAAAACTGTCTTATGATCAATTAACTCGGGACAGCTATCCTCCAGCTCACAAGTCAGACACAGACAATTTGTCCACCTTGCCAAGTCCAGTCCTTTTCCCTTGCTTCCTGAAGCCCTCTCCGCAGGAGGTACATCATGGAACAAATGACAGCCCACTCTCTGGTGCTATCTCATGAGGACCATGCATGTTCTACAACAGTAAATGCTGAGACAAGGAGTTCTCCAGTACCTCAAAAAGAGGCAGTGGGGCTTACCTACTAAGCAGCCTGACCATTCTGCATACCAGGGGACAGTAAAATGTAACCCATTTTTACTTATATTGAGCCCAACAACATTTACATCCATAAAAATAGCCCATCTCAGACTAGGGGGAAAACTGGGAGTTTAGCACACATCAATAGTCACCTCAGCAGTTGGAAGCGTGTCCATTTCTGATTTGTCAGAGTTCAACTTCCAGTCTTTGGTTGCCATTCTACGTTTTTCACTGCAAAAAAATCAAGTCACCTCTCCACTGCTTTTAATACCTTTCCTTAACCAGGACAAACTTAAGGATTTTCCAAAACAAGGCATTTTCTCTCACCCACAGATTATTTTTGAAGATGTAAGTGCCACAAATTTTCTGGTTGTTTGGTGGGTTCTTTTTTTTATGCTGAGTTCATACCCAAACCAATCCCACTCTCATAACACACACACTGATGTCTGCTGTTACCTTACTGCTACATGCTTGCTTATTCACTGAAGCTCTTTAACAGTCTTTTTCATAAATGTCAAAGTTGTACTTAGAGGTATTTACAATGGAATCATGTTGAATTCTCAAGGATGAAATGAGACATCTGTTTATATACAACTTGCAAACCAACCTGCTAGCCTGTGGAAACACTCCATCACTTTGCAAGCCATGCTTTACAGCACCAAAGCAATGGAAGGTCATTAAATCTGACAAATTTCATTCAGCACCTTGGGATAGCTGATGGTGGTTGCTGAAGCTAGGAAGCTAATTCCACTGAACTTGTCACAGTGTTGGAAAAAACCATAGAAAACGGGACAAACAAGGTACGGCGAGAGCTTAAAAATAGTTCACAGAGAAAAGAAAGGCTCAGCCTGAGGAACAGAAAACTGTAGGGAAGACAGAGGATGAGAGCGTCCACTTTACAGGAACAGAGGTTGAACTGTGGGGACCAGGCAAGGATAAAGAAAGCTGACTTTGGGCATGTAGACTCAAAGTATCTAGGCTACCATTTCTTGCAACTCCATCTCTCACTCACTGCACCTCAGAAACATGTAAGATAGGTAGGTTTTCATCAGGTCTGCGATAACATTTATCCCGCAGCAGAAAAATCACTAAGTTTGATCTAAGGAAAAAGGGCATAAACAAGCAGGAAAAAAGTATGTGCTTCTGTTCTGGCAATGGACCAAACTGCATTAAGAAAGACCCAAATACAGCCTAAATCAAAGAAATGTTGCAGTACAGTGAAGAAATTGAGACAAAGACATATGACGTATCCACTTTCCACCTGTTCATGCACACCACCTTTACAACTGTCATTAAGCAGCACTACTTTCAAACCTAAATCAAAGCGTACATGTACTACCTTATACCACTGTTTTAGCAGCAAAATTTGACCTGGCTTTGAAATGGATTAGAAATGGTCATATGGGCATTCACAGGTAAAATAAATAAATAAATAAATAAACCTACTACCACTTCTGAAGTTAAGCTCTATCTTCTATGTCAGACGCTGTACAAGCCTTCAACAGTATGGATTAATTAGTAGTTAACATATCTGAAATGCACGTGAAATTTGTACCTTGCCAGGCACGCCACGGATGAATTCGTAACCACGCACTCAGTCACAACTGTGTAGACATACCTTTAATGCTTTCCCTCAGGCTGTTTTTTCCGCCTCTCTAAGAGGCATACAGTCCTTCATGTCAGCCAGTTGCCGCTTGCTGATAGTTTGGAAACAATTATGAGTTTCTACAGAAAATATACGCATGTATTATTTCAGCCATCTGGTTCTAAAGAGCAGATTAATGGCCTTGTACATCAATCATCGCTGTGGGAATATCTATACTGCAGGCTGAACGTAGACAAAAACCCTGAAAGATCCAGTACTGCCTAGGGGCCAGCAAGCCTTATTTTCTACCTGTTTTCATTTACGAATTTTTCCTGTTAATATATTGATCCTACACTTAACTATTAGATTATGTCAGTGCAAACCTTCTTATTAAAGGGATAAGTATTTTGGTGTTTAACACACGTACTAGCCTTAATCCCCTCGATACTTTAGAAGTAAACCCAAACACAGTTCTGAAAAACCAACATTTGAACTTGACAGCCATACACAGCTAAATGTGGATTTAGATGCCTAAGCAGTAATCATCTCATTGACCTTGGGGAAGTATAGGGATGCCAAAAGTTATAATCACTCTACTTCCACTGAAAATGTCAAACTTGGTTTTCTGAAGTGGTCCACAAATAACTACGCTTACCTTTAGAACTGCTCAGTGTAGGACACAGCAATTCCAGTAAGCGTTCCAGCCATTTACCGAAACAAACTTCATCTCAGGAAGTCGTTTTCCCCAATCCAAGCACCACACAATTAGCATAAGGCCATGCCAACCAGATTGGGTCTACTCCAATTTTGATCACGAATATAGGAACACATGGTAAAGGACTGCTATTTTAATAATGAATACAGGTTATGAAGCCCAAGTGAGAATTTTTCATATAAACACCCCTATCTGCTTTGTCTTTTGGGGCAAAGGGGTGCAGGGGGGGGTGGTGGTGGAAAAGATCACTAAATGGAAGCATTCCACAACTAATGCTGCCCCTCTTTGGAAAGACTTAGCTCAGAAAAATAAACACACTTTATGCCACCGTTCTTAGTAACAGGATATGCACGTGCTAGAACATGTTAGTCTAATTCTAATCTTGTGGGTCACTAAAAATTAAGGTAACATGAAGAGGCCATTCTAGAAATTCAGCCAACAGAGCTACATTACCAACCAGTTGAGGGCAAGCCCACTGAAAACTCAGATCACTCTTTTGCAGCTTCTGTGGAGTTATGAAACCCAAAATGAGACTGCTTTGAAGATGTTTCACCGGGTACTGGATCCCCAGCGCGCATAGGGGAAGCACTGCCAAGAGCTCGCAGCCCTTGGCAAAGCAGACATACAGGTATCGTAAGATACACTTCATTACCTGCTCCAAGTCCGCATACTGCAACTAATAATAAAAAAGTAGTTGATAACAGCAACACTGGCAGAGGCCTTCAAAGAAAAACGCCTGTGGCTCAAGGACTCTGGCCTTTAGAATATAGAATCATAGAATGTTTTGGGTTGGAAGGGACCCCTAGAGGCCATCTAGTCCAACCCCCCTGCAGTGAGCAGGGGCACCCCTAACTAGATCAGGTTGCTCAGAGCCCCGTCCAACCTGGCCTTGAATGTTTCCAGGG